AAACTTGGACACGTGGATTAGATGTGAGCCACAGTGTCCTCTGACCAGGTGCCTTTTCCTACTGTGAAACACAGACATGGCCTACAAGACTGTTGTCAGGTCATTTGCAGCCACAATTTTTAAAGGGACCTTATTTCTTCAAGGCACTTTAGCAGCTATGTGCAAGGTAAAGCATGGCATTGGGCACACAGAATTTGCAATAATACACAGAGGCTGCTCAATTTGCAATACGAGAATTGGTTGTCATTTTTGAAATTGCTTTTAAGTCTGAGCCGCTTCCTTGTGGAACACTGAATTCAAATAGGAATCATAAAGTTTTCTACTTCTAACAAGTTATATGGAGGCATTTGATGCTTTAGGTTTATGTGCTTCATTAAAAATCAAGTTGTTGATGATTAATCCACTTACTGTGGATCAGCAACAGAGCTTGACTGGTGATCCCATCAACTAGAGAAGGTGGCAGCTGGAATCTGTACCAGCATTGTCTGAGATGTGATGCCGACACACATGGACAAAACTGGGTGCATGCTGCCTTCAAAATGTGCACAGAGAGAATCAGCAGCCTACTGAGAGTTTTAACTACTTAATGAGGAATGTTCTGCATGCTGTGTATAACATACCGAGCATTTTTGTAACTTTTAACTGCTCTCTTCTGGCAAAACTAGACAGAACTTATTTATTAATGCCATTTGTATTGATTTCAATTTTGAAAAAGTTGATTTGGTGGTCCTGGAGTGTTTGTACAACCATTCTCTCTTAGAAAAGTGTTGTCCCTCGGGGAAAAAAAACAAACCTAAGTGAAAAAAAAAATTTTTTTCTCATGCATTGAAACAAACGTGAAACAACTATTAAAAAAACCCCAAGCTTTTAAGAAATGGGAGAAGGATTATGAGTATTTTGATCTTATTTGGAAATTTTTCCAAATAGTTTCAAGCCATGTGCTTGGGCCACAATCTTTGGTTTAAAAAAGGGTGTCGATGAAGCTGTTTGTATACCTTGCTGGATACCAAGGCTGAATTTGTGTTGCAGCCTGTCAAAACCTATGTTTTCATAACTTCTCACAGTGAAATGTTGTTAATGGTTCAAACAAAAAGTGGTCTCCTTGCTGTGACTTTTCTGAAATGATGATCAGGCTAAATCCTTTTAGATTAGGGTGCTTCATAAAACCAAACATATTGTGAACATTAACAACACCGAGGAATAGAAGTTGGGTGGTCCCATCAACTCGAGAATCTGGGAGTTTAGATCTGGGTCAGCTTAATCTGAAATATGGTGCTTGCCCACATGAACAAAAATGGATGTGTTTTCAGAGGCTCATTACCCTCAAAATGAGAGAAGATGGAATTAAGATGAAACAGAAGGAAAGCATAAAGTGAGGCAAGCATATGACTTAATTTAATTTCTATTGTTACAACTGTGAAAAACGTGCTAAGGTCTTTTCAACACATTGCCTACTATTATGTGATATAATACTAAGGAAGTATCTTCGTTAAATTAAATCTCTAAGCAATTTTCTTTGATAGATAAAATATTCCTTCTTGCATTGGCCATTGCATTTTCTACTCGCATGTTCTCTGAACCCTCTGACTACTGTGATAACACTGTAAGTCTTGTATATGAGATTTCATCGTGCTAGGTCCTGTGCAAGTTCTATCCAGAATGTTCTGATCCAAGGAGTTTAGAGTTTAAAACAAAATGCAACAAGAGGCAAATACTTTTTTTGCATGTGTGTCTTTGCTCAAAACCAGTGAGGTATGTGCTGTTCTGTGCATGGTCAAATATATACACCTCATTGTTTTACATTGCTATGAATGGAAATTGCAGGATTATCAAGAAATCTGTCACCAAATTAACAGTTTTTTCTTGCCTTTGTTCTAACCTCTGAGTGATGATTGCCTTTAGGATAACAAAGCAGGATACTCAGCAGATTTTGTAAATGACTGAATGTCTTTTTCCTTTAGGGATAATAAAACGCTGTTGAATGTAGGTAAAAATTTTGGTCTGCTTTGCCAAGTGCACTGTGGCCTTTCACAAGCATCAGTGTTGAGCAGAACAGTAATAAACAGCTTGTCAGGCAGATCTATCTGTAGTTAATCTCCCATATTTAGCTTTTTTTTTAGAAAGGATCTGAACCAGAATGGACTCTTTTTCTGAAATACAGCCCAGAAGCAGGTGCTAATTATTTACATATGGTTAGATTCAGTGCACTGTTGAATGCACGGTTTACCCTTATTTTATCTGACTTGTTGGTAAATTTTAGTTTTGGCTACGTTTACTGTAATTTTCCGTGCTTTCCAGGCTAAAAATACTCACAGTTGCCTGAAATCACCAAAGTGTTACTGTTAAAGAGGTTGCTCAATATTTATCTATTAAAAATTCCCACCCAGATTGCAAGCTATTTATCTTCAGTGATTTTTAACCTCCACAGATTTGTTTGCTTTTTACCTCCTTCACTGTGTAGAAAGATGCTGGAGGATGCTCAGGGAGTCTCTCAAGAGTCATTCTTGTCCCACCAGTTGTCTAGACCCTGGTAAATTCACTATCCATGTTATGGAGAGGTTTTGCAAAGATCTCCTGAGATTAATTCACTTGGGTTACATAAATCTGGTTGTATTTGCTGACTCTAGTTGTTTCACACAAGACTGAGGGGTTTTCTGTGTGTGTTGGTGTCAGGTGCCAGGAATAAATGAGCTGTGAATGTGCAGCAGTTTTGTAATCAGTGCAAAAGCAGAAAAGCCTGTTCAGTAAAAATCAGCCAGACAATGTCAGATTGTTTGCTTGGTTTATGAGAAGTTCAGAGTGGGTAGTAAGTGTTTAGTTCAGTCCCTAAATCAGTCCTTCCTGAAAGATAACAGATTTAGAGCATTTGTAATTGAGGGGCTTGGTGTAATACTTTATTTCATTGATTGAGGAAAGGAAGATGTAAGCAAGCTGCAAATCTCTGATATAGGTAGATATATGGTTTTTTTTGATAGATAGATATATCTTGTTAGTCCAAATATAATAAATTTGCCAAGCCTGCATTGCAAATTTAAACTTGTTTCTTGGAATAAAAACAATTCTCTCTACCAATTGTAGAGGCAAAATTTTGTTGTTGAGCTAATGGTCTGTGTTAGAAAAATGCAACCATTCGATATTGCACCAGCCCAAATGAACTCCTGTGGCACATAATACTAAATCTGAGTGCTGAATTCGGTGACTGATATCCAAAGTACACCAAATTGGTTTTGCCTCAGTGTTGCAGCCTGGATTGAAAGTGACATTGATAGAAGTATTCTTGCTTATGGATGCTGTTCTGTCTGCCTTGTAATTAAAGTTTTTCAATGAGATTTAAGATTTTGGTGTGGTAACATACCAGCATCCTGCTGCCACATTTTCTCTTGCTTGTATCACCAGAACCCATACTATAAGCTGCTCTTTCCAGTAGGGTGGTAGTGAGGAATATGATACTTTTTTCTACTTGCTGGGCTTCTTTAAGGTACTTAGTTTAAGGCTGGGAATTAATGGATTAAAAGAGTGATACACTGAGTGATTTTTAAGTATTATTAAGGGAACCATAAAACACATTAAGTTTATTGACTATAATAAACAATATTAAAAAGGATAAAGAGCCTGCCTCAAACTGTGCTATCCCTATCACGTGTTTTTGTTTTACTAGCAAGTAAAGGTTTAAAATTACAAATATTCAAAGCCAAAAGAATTAGTAATTTGCTGCCATTTTGAAAGAAATGTGTTTTTTTCTTGATATTATGCAATGGTAAAATTTCAAGCTGCTACATATGTGAGGAAGCACATAAGCACTAGATATTTTCAAAAACCTATTTAGTCTTTTTTTTTTTTCTCTTTGGACCTCTAACACCTTCCAAATTCTTCAAGTCTTCGGAGTTTTTTCCAGGGCAATACTGGATAGAAGATATCTATTAAGATGAAAATCCAGAATAATAAACACATTGATAACATATTCTAAATCCTGGCTCAGGGAGGGATTTAAACACATCTTCTATTCATGTACCACACCATTGCTGTTGGAGTGCTAATACAGTGACAATGTATTGTCACTTAAAAGAAGTCAACCATTGTAGTAAAGGAACAACTGCCCTCAAAACACCTCTTCATTTGGCAAGTTTTACTGGGTGTAAGAGTGTTTATTACCCCCAGCTGTTTGTCTCAGTGTTAATTTTTATGAGATCCTGTCCGGGACATTCTTTTCTTCAATGCTTGACTGTGATGAATGAGTTGAAGATTGAACAGTAAATGTTTTTTAAGTCCTTAACAATCCTGTGTGAGGACTGTCACCAGGTTATTTAACTGTATTTTATCTATTCATGGGCCTCTATAGAACTGAATTTGTATTTCCCTGTTCAGATTTTCCTGGATTTGTAACTTTGATAGCAGGATTGTGGATCCTAACACATGGGCAAAGCTCTGGCACTGCAGAAAGAGAGGTTCTTCTAGGTATACTCATAGTCCTGCCTAAAGAGTATGAGCAGTGGATGACTGTGAGGATAACAGGCTGTGCAACCAACTGTACGTGTAACACAGAAGGCATTTTCTGTCAGTACACATTCTGTGCTTGTGATTCCTTGAAAATGGATGAAAGGAAACATGGTGTTTGGATCAGTCACTAGGACCCTCTGAGATTATCCTTCAGGCCAGGTGTGACTTCCTGAACCATAATCTCGAGGCCATTAGGGACAGCCCCATTTTTCACTATGTGAGAGGTGGAAAGCCTTAAATCTTGCTGTGGATGGTGTCTATAGGGGCTGTTTTAAGGTACCTTGGCAATTGAATGGAATTAGCACAGATTAAAGAATTTTTTCCACTTTATGAATCACCAAGGCTTTTCCTGCTCCAAGATTACTTGTGAGAACTGTCTGCTTCTCTCCTCTGGCCTAGATGCAAAGTTTTATTCAAATGAATTTGTGAATCATTTGGGGATGAAGCAGTAAAAGATGTACTGATTTATAATAATCACTGACATTGTTAGTATTAATGAGAAGAGCTGTGTGTTTCTCATGTCTCTTCCCTCTTTTCATTTCAGTTCATCGCCTTTGCCTCTTTATTCTTCATCTTAGTTTCAATCACAACCTTTTGCCTGGAAACACACGAGGCTTTCAATACGATTATAAACAAAACTGAGCTGGTCACCAATGGGACGGAAGCTGTGCTGCAGTATGAAATCGAGACAGATCCTGCCCTGACATACGTTGAAGGAGTCTGTGTGGTATGGTTTACATTTGAATTTTTAGTACGTGTTATTTTTTCCCCCAACAAACTTGAATTCATCAAAAACCTCTTGAATATCATTGACTTTGTGGCCATCCTGCCCTTCTACCTAGAAGTAGGCCTGAGCGGGCTTTCCTCCAAAGCTGCTAAGGACGTGCTTGGTTTCCTCAGGGTGGTAAGGTTCGTGAGGATTCTTCGAATCTTCAAGCTCACCCGGCACTTTGTGGGCCTCAGGGTGCTGGGCCACACTCTGCGAGCCAGCACCAATGAATTTTTGCTGCTGATAATATTCTTGGCACTTGGTGTTTTGATATTTGCCACCATGATCTACTACGCAGAGCGGGTGGGAGCCCAGCCTAATGACCCGTCAGCGAGTGAGCACACACAGTTCAAAAACATCCCTATTGGCTTCTGGTGGGCTGTGGTCACCATGACCACACTGGGATACGGGGATATGTATCCACGGACTTGGTCAGGCATGCTGGTGGGAGCCCTGTGTGCGCTGGCAGGGGTGCTCACCATAGCCATGCCGGTGCCTGTGATAGTTAACAATTTTGGGATGTACTACTCCCTGGCCATGGCAAAGCAGAAACTGCCAAGGAAGCGGAAGAAGCACATCCCTCCTGCTCCTCAAGCCAACTCACCCACCTTCTGCAAGACAGACTTGAACATGGCCTGCAATAGCACACAGGGTGACATCTGCCTGGGCAAGGACAACCAGCTGATGGACCACAACAGATCATCAGGTAGGACCCCACTGGAAATGCATGTCCTCTGAAAATACTTTATAGACCAGTATGTTTGATAAGGGTCAGAAAGCAGCCAGTCTTTCTGCCAGGAGAAGATGTAGCTCCCACACTTCTCCCCTCCAGTGTTTGCGTGTGTCAGTCTTATAGAGGATAAAATAGGTATAGTGATGTTCCCAAACCTCTATGTAGCTGGTCTATACAGTTTTGCTTGCTCTGTTTATATCAACTTTTTTTTTTGCCCGTTGTTTGTTGCGTCGTATGGATGTTTCTTGTTTTTTCTGCATGACTGTGACTATTTGAGCAGCCACCGTGTCCCACCCTGTTGGACTCCATGGTGTTTTGCCTCAGTGTCTGTCTCTTGTGTCAGCTTTGCCTGTGCCACATCGTGGCCTGTTAAGCAAGATCCTACAAAGAAGCAGTCATTTAAAAGGAGCAGGTGCTTTACATCAAAAGCCCAGCACTCAAAGGAAATAAGAAGAAATTATATTTCTAGCTTTCTTTCCATTTGGCATTCCACTTCCCTGGCTAGAAGAACCTCCTTTGTCTGTGTTAGATGAAACATTGCATGATATTTACTACTAATTGAATGATAACAGAATAGCTGCTGTAAAGTTTGTCAAGAAAAATGAAAATGACAGCCCCTAGCAGCATCATCATCATTAGTGTTGATGTTTATGATTTATAGTATCTTATTTGTTAGAGTTCCAAATAATGGATAAGGAGTATTTCGTGCTAATCATGTAATTATGAAAATGCATATCAAATGATAGCTTCTGCCCCTGTATTCCATGTCTCTTCAATTAGAGTAAATTTTACCTCTCAGTATAACTGAAACAAATTTTTTAGCAGCAAGGATTTTTTGTTTGGTTTTGAAAGTATTTATTCTTAAACCAAGCACAATCTGATTACAAAGCTCACGTACCAGTCAGTAGACTAAAGCTGTAAAGCTGCTAAAGAATAATAAAAGCAAAACCACCCCTGACTTTTCTCATTCAGTAATTGAAATTTATTTTTTACAAAGCAGAGTCTGGAAAATCAGTCTCTGAACAATATCCATCTTTGGTCTGTTGCTCTGTTACTGAATAACATTTATGTTTAAAGAAGCTCGGTTTCAGTCTCCAAGTGAGCATTTGCAGACAAAGTTCACACAGCTTTTTGAACATCCTAAATATATTTAAGAGGATGGAAACCCTTGAAAGGACTCACACTGTGGGTGGAATATAGTTAGTTTTACAGCGCTTTGACTGATACACACTTCCAGATATCTTCAAAATGTTAATGATAACAGGTTTTTCATGCCAGCAGGTCCCACTAAATGTATTCCGTCATGGAGAAGGCTCAGTGTGATCAAAGCAAAGAGACACTTTTGTGTGTCTGCAGCTTTATTTACAAGGTGTTATAATCCTTGAAGTTAGAGAGGAAGCAAATATGCAAAAAGGAGCCATTTTAAAGTGTTAACTTTCTCTTCCGTAGTGCCACCGTTCACATCATGCACTGTAGCTTTATTTCTGGTAGAGCTATTAGCATCACTAGGAATTCTGTGCAAAACTTCAAGGCTGAATATAGCCCTTTGCATTACCACTTCATAAAAACACATGTGCAGGTTTAAATGCAAAGGTAAAGCTAAAGTCTATAACATGCCATTATCTATTATATGCTGTTCTGAGCAGAGAATTTTTTATTGAAGTGTGGCCTGAATCTGAAATAGTAGATAATTTTTAAGAAGAGTCCTTTGGGAGTGCCAAATCAGGAGAGGTAAGAGTTTCGCTGTTTGACAAAACAAACTACAGACCAAAGACAGTGTTTAACGTTGGGTTCTTATGATGACAAGCAGTGCCAAGTGTGAGAAGTATAGAAATGAAAACTAAGTGTGTCATTAAACAGGTTTTAATGCCAAATGTTGAAAATTTAGCCCCCCTGGGGGAGGGGTTGTCTTTTAAACCATACTAAACAACATATTCTAAGCAAAAATTACTAACATGACCTCTTGTTTAGCAAAAAATGATAGCCAATATTGTAAATGCTTGTTTGAAATATCCAAGGCTGACTGTACCCTGAAAATTTGCAGTACATAAGCAACCAACTGAGCCTTGATCTGGTTATTTCTTATTTCATGTTAGTTTAGTATAACTTTATAGGAGTTTTAAAAGAACAGAGAAGTCAAAAGATCATTGTCCTTGAATAGAAAGTATACTTTTTTGCCATTTTGTACTGATTAATGGTAAATTGCAATCTTGTTTTCTTCTAATGATTTACCTTATAACTATTTTTTGAGTGATGGGAATATCCAGCATTCAGCATAAGCTCTTTGTGATGTCTCATTTCTTCATTCATTATTGTCTGTAAATGGGCATGGTGCTTTAACCAGTGTTATCAGGTGAAGACAGTGCAGGAAGTGAGCAGCCACTCTCACCTGGTGAAAGGCTCCCTCCCATCAGACGCTCTAGTACAAGAGACAAAAACAGAAGAGGGGGAACATGTTTCCTACTGACAACAGGTGATTACACGTGTGCTACTGATGGAGGGATCAGGAAAGGTATGGACTTCTTTCATTAGATCATAAAAGGTTACTCAGCAATGTGTTTGTGAAAAGCAATCAGAGTAAAATGATGTGCACAATGCTCTAAAAGGAAACACTGTGCTCACAATGTATCTTTTTTCTTTATTCTTAGTCATTCTTCTCCTGCTTTCCTTTTAGAAACTCATCTCCTTTAGTCTTCACAAATGTGCTTGATGTTGGACTCTCATTTCACCTGTGTCTTCATTTGTCTGTTATCTTTAATGGAAAAGCCTGCAATTCAAACCTTGCTCATTCAGCCACTCATCACTCAATGCCATTTGTCATTATAAAAGAAAAATTAATTATTTATTAATTTTGGGCTGCACTTAATAACTCAATAAAAATTACAGCTGAATAAATTACACTTAAAAGGTTGAAATGTCAGAAGTAGGCGACATTTTTGTTCTGAACACAGCAAAGCATATAATGAAATGCTGTTTAGATGTGTTCAAAGAAAAGTTTGAGTTTATAGTGCCACAAAATGTTTCCTCTTTGTAGTACACCAGTGATGCTAGGAGGTAACTCTCTACCCCTGCCAGAATTCACTACAGTAAACAGTGTTTGATCTTGCAAGGTGCTAAAAATGTCTTTCTAGTTATTCAGCCTCTTCAAGTCTCATTACTCACTGTTCAGTAGGATTGGGTTCCCCAGGCAAAGTCTGCAAAACCTTCTGTCGTTATATGTATCACCCCTGTGACTAATGGTGTGGCTACAAACCTAATAACCTGAGAGCATAGCTGCAAAATCAGCAGTGCCAGTAAAAGTCTTGCCGTTTCCTTAGATAAGAATTGCTTTGGTTTCTTGGCAAATTGTATCATTCCGAGAAGTTTCACATTCCTGAGTGCTGATGTGCAGTCATTCACCTCAGAGTTCGTATACAGTAGCCATGTGGCCCCGGACAAATATTTCTGGCTGAGATTTTTCTGCTGTCCCCCCATTCCATGTCCCCCCTTCTTTTTTAAACCATGCTTTATGTTCAGCAAACATGGCTGTCCCAGCCAGCTATAGACCCTAAAGAAATTCTCTTGTATTATTCTTCAAATGCTCTTTTTACATTTCAAAAGCATGACCTCAGTAGGTTAAACCTGTGAATCAGATATGCAGCTGGAGTTCAATGTGTCTGGTATTTGTAAAGAGTGTGATTGCCTCTATGCTCCTGTGGTTTACATATTCCCATATAAAATGCTTAGATTAAATGGAACTTCATGGTAAACATGTTTTTGCACAGATTTAAGATGCTTTCCACTGGGTCTATGTCTCATGCTCTATTCTAAACAACTAGAATTATTTAAAATATATCTAATGGTAAGAGTCCAGTCTTTGAGGAGGTCAGGAAGACCTGAATAAGGCAGATGATTGCCGTGGCATCTTGGAAGATAAGGTTGTTGACTTCTTTTTAGGAATATTAGTATAAATGTTTTGAGTGCTGTTCACTTGGCAGTAACCATAATTACTACAGATCAGAAATAATAAGTTACCCATCAGCTACTAAAGAAACAGAACATAATATATAACAATAAAAAAAGTAACATGTAACAATCATATATAAGCATAATAATATTTATGATATAACAATAAAATATATTTTATACTGGGATCACCTGAACATTTTCATTTAAAAATCTAGATTCAAGAGAAAATTGTTTCATAGATTTTACTAGAAAAATAGGGCTAGGGTTCAAACCTGACAGTTTCTCAATGAAAAATATGTTTTTTAACTGGCCCCAATGATAACCTTAGTCTAAGCTGAAATGTTTAAGCCATTGGCTTTCAAGTTTATTTTATATAGAGTAGAGAGGTTAGCTCATGAGAAGAAACCCTTATTGAGTAACATCCAGATGATTTTGAATTCTTGAATTTAATTCATACATCAAGTCTACTACTTTTTCATCTTATTTTTCCCTTTCTTTTGGTACCTTAGTTTTTTGTGTCTTGGTTGTGTTCAATTATCATTTATTTTAAGCTTTTTTGCATTTGCACCTTATTTCCATCTCTAAGATGACGCTGCTTCAGAGCTGATCCAAACCCCACCAAAATACCTGGAAAGTACCAATTTGGAATAATACCTTTATTCATCTTGTGTATCTGGGTTTTATTTTTTGTTCCTGGTTTATTTATCATCTTTACCACTTTCCTGTATCAGTTCTTTGCTTTTATCATTAGAAAAGTTGCAGGAAAAATATTTTTTAAAAATACTTTCCTACTTTCTGTGTAATAAAAGGCTACCTGATTATTTTGATTTTTTTTGTAAGCTTTATGTTTACAGGGGAGGTTAAATATATACACTAGCATTGTGCTTCCCCTTGATTCCCCTTTCAAACATGATTCTAATCCGTGTAAATGCTGATAGAAACTCAGAAACTGGAGGCTGGTTTTGAAATGTATCAGAAGCCTGTGAATCATCACAGTCTAGCCTGCCCTTGCAATCTGGAGAGAGCACTGCACAATATTTTAGCAGACATGAGGTTATACATTTGCTTATAGTTTTACTATATGCAATTCTGACTACATAAGAAATATGTTAATTGTCATTAGGGGAGAACGTAAAATATGTTTTTTTCTTGGAGATGCTAACAACTCTCTGTCTGGTAACATCCAGTGTGATGTTTAGCTGTATTGTCATTGTCATTTTAGAGTTTCTGTGGGAAAAGCCTTAGTATTTCACTGTAAGCATTTTATACCTGAATGTCTTAAACTACCAAATGTTTCGATGCATACTTGTCTTCAAGGAAATAAGTGGTGCCATTGAAATCAATGGGACTTCTCAACCTTGCAGTGAATCAGTATCCATGTACTTGAGCAGTGAGGTCCTATCCAGATCCATCTTCATTGTATTTCCTTGCTGGTATCTTCCTCCAGGCGGATAGGCTGAGCCTTTTCTTCATAAGTGGATTTATTCAGGTGCTGTTGAAGATCCTTGAGTATGAAGATAGTGATGTAGTGAATAGCAATGCTTTTCCATTGTTTTACAGCATAGCCTTTATGAGGTGAAAACAATCTATATGCTGCAAAAAGTAAGTAGCTAGAGCTCACAGTGTATTTGAATAGAAATCTCTGCAAATGCAATGTTCTCTCCAAATTGTGAAGTATTATGTGGTTGCCTCATTTAATGCTTAATTATTTACTACTTACCTATGTGGACTAATACCATTTATTTCATTTGAGTCAGTTGGAGAAGGAACACAAATATGGTGTTTTAAATTTGCCAATCAGGAGGTGTTTACAAATATGTCAAACTCTGCTATCTTATTATACTTTAATATGCTATCTTATTATACTTTAGCATTAGACACAAAGTGTTAGGGTTAATATTTCTGAGGATGGAGCTTCTTTTGCATATTATCATTCAATCCTCTGCAGAAGTGATTTACACATACTGTACTCAACTTATCTGGGGTTTGTTTTCTTTATTTTTAAAGAAAAAAATACCCTTTATTAGGAATTGAGTTCAGCAGAGATTATATAATTCTAACAGTTTTTATAGTCTGTCTTAATGGGGTTTTGATTATGCTTAGCCAGATAGCTCACCCAGTAACCCAGTAGCTGAGGCAATTTGTAAACAATTTTATCTATTATTATCTTTTGGTAGTAATGTGTCTCAGCATTGAGTTCTTTTGCAGGCAGAAACCCTCTGAGTCCCAGATAGCTCCTCAGATTACATTACATTGTATTGTTTGTCTTTGTCTATTTTTTTGGCTGAATTCAACTGATGTCTGTGCATTTTCTCATACAAGGCTATGAAAAATCTCGAAGCTTAAACAACATAGCTGGCTTGACAGGCAATGCTCTGCGACTGTCTCCAGTAACATCACCCTACAGCTCACCTTGTCCTCTAAGGCGCTCTCGGTCTCCCATCCCTTCCATCTTGTAAACCAGATGGCATCAATCGGCTACATAGTATTAATTCAAATACGGTTTACTACATATTGGAAATAAATGTAGCTTTAACCATAGGCTCCACAAATACGGTATAACACCTGCATGATAATAACTGTCAGTAGTAAGAAATGGCACTTGGGTAGCTGAAGATTTTTATTTTAGCTTTTAAAGATTACCCAAGTAGTGCTTCTCCTTTTATCTACTACATGGTTCGACTTTACTGTGGCAATAAAAAGACAGTTAGTGGATGCTGTTGGCCAGTATATTCAATAAATAAACATATTTTCAGGGATATTTACTTAAAATAACGTGCTTCCAGCTAATTATCAGTCACTTCATTGAACCTTCATTTCTTGTGACTCTAATCCATTCTGAAGATGTCTGCTCTGAAGGGTCTGCTCATTTGCATGGACCATCCTGTCTCCATCATCTGACAAGCAGTGTTGCCGACTGTGGAGACCACAGAGGGCTCTGGATGTGTGTTCTCACTCCTGCTGAAATGAAAGCACTGATAAACTGGTCTGCATGTGGGATTGTTTTTCTTTGTTTAACCTTTTCCTTTATTTTTTAATAATCTACTTGTTTATAAATGGCTTTATTTTGTGATTAACTTACTTTGGTACTGGATTGCTGTATCAGAGTTCTGAATGTCTCCGGTTGTTTGCACACAGATAACTGCAAAGAGGTTGTCATTACTGGTTACACGCAAGCAGAAGCCAGATCTCTTTCTTAATGGCTTGGGGAAGGCACAAAACATGCAAGAAAGGTAAACGCCATCCAGACTTGCAATTTTAAGCTAGCAAGTGCTGCTTGGTACTGTAGTGATTTCTCTACTCCAGGGTTCTTCAACCTTTTCAGAGGCTGAGTACCAAGTAAAACTGAGAAGACTATTGGGGGCTTTTTTGTACTACTGTAAGAAGGGAGTAGTTCTCAAGTCAGATTTTTGATCAGCCTTATACCTCTGGCTCATGAGCTTCACAAATTTCTTCAGTCAGTCTTTTTTGAGGTGCTTTGTCCTATATGTTGTTTGTCTGTCTGTTTTGCAACCTGTCTACTGTATTTTCCATCTGTCTCCATAAAGCACAGAGATACTGTTAAAATGCCCCCATCTTTTAAGCTTAACTAAGGACATTTTTCTCCTTTTCTCCTTTTTTTTTTTTCATATGAACTATACTTATGTGTATAGATACAAATATATATATTTTTCAAATGCAAGTTAATATTGTCTAGACTAACTCATGTGAACACTCTGAAGATTTTTCCAGTGGGATTTAGCAGTGGCTTTACAGTACTGACTGGTTGCCTATTGCATTAATCTTCCTTCTAACAACCAGCACTCATTACAGTTTTGAAACTGTATCTCCTCTAGCGGCTTTTTCATTCAATATTAACCTCTGTTTATGCAACAGGACCAATGCAATGGCAGATTTGATGTTCTGGCTGGTGAGGAAAAAATGCCCTAAACTGTAGAGTTTTAGGACTCCATAGGAAAGACCATAACAACCACAACCTTAAGAGATCCTTGAGATTGTTGAATAATATCTGATTGTCGTGTTTTATTTTTTGTCAGGGAGAAAAATATTGCTGTTGAGCATATAACATGTTCTTCTGTATATAGCCTAGCCCAATAGCATGACCTGCATGTCAGAATTCTTGTACAATAATGTATTTATCAAACTATACATTTCTGATATTTAGAGATGTACATTGATTTAGTTTTGGTAAAATACTGTCAATAGAGAGATAATTGCAAACAGCTTTTGGCAAAGGAATTAATATAATATCTGGTGCTGCTGTTATATTAACTACAGTGTTGTACAGAATTTATCATGGATTTTTGACTGCTGAAAAAGGGACAATGGAATTTAGCCATACCAAGGACTGTACTGGAAAGAGACTGCTGCTGCTGAATGGGCCCTGATAAACAACTCACGCCTTGAGGAGGTCACTGAGACTTACATGAGAAGTAGAGCTTGTTAAAGAAGATTAAAGACTGCTTGTAATTACTGCTGCCAGATGAAGGGGTGACTAGTCACTGTTGATGAGTCAGCTGTAAATAAAATGTGTGTGCATGGAATATCAGTTTTTATCTGTATCAAGGAAAGCTGAATTCAAGTCATCATTGCTAAGGCTCCATGCAAAGACCCACACCCCTGTTCCCACTTCCTGGTTCCTGCAGTAAGCTGTGCTGTGGATCATACAAAGACACACACTTAATAATGATAGTGATGTAAAGTACATCTGTCTTGACTTCTGTCATAATAATGGTATATTTTGCAATGGTCACAAATATGAACAGAATAGGTTTGCATAAGTACTCAGTTTGCCATGAGCTATATTTGTATGAATTCTAGTGTACATGCCAAGTCTTAAGTATACTTTTCACTTTGATAACAGAAATGTGACTGCAGACAAACATCACTGACTTTGTTCACAGCACACAGTCTTTCATTGTTACCTCAAACTATAAGCATTATGAGAAATAAAATTCTGGCAGCAAGTCTATTTTGGGGTTTTTAATTTTTTTTCCCTTCAAATTCAGTGTTGCAAACCCAACATCAGTAACTATAAAAGGTGTATTAAAATTATATCTTACAAATGTATATTTTACATACAAGAGATATTCTTTAATCAGTTATTTTCTGTGATTTTTGTGATAAATGGATCTAGTCTATTCTGTGTTTATTATGAGGCATTGTAGTGCTACGACGTGGTAATTATGTTCTCTCCACCCTAGTCAGTGGGAAATTCTCCAGAATCTGTTTTTGTCACCCTGGTGTCCCAATTGTAGGGACCTGTCCCACTTGTGAAACTCTGTATCGTGGAACTTCTGTGAACATGTCAAGGTGCATGCACAATCCTGGTGGAAACCAGTGGAAATGTAATACCTGAATTGGAGAATAAAAGGCAAAAGACCTGGGGAGGAACTTGGAACATATCTTCTAAAGTGGCTCATGCGCTTTCTTTAGCTGTATCGGTCCCCTGCCTGACACTGGCCATCCCAATTCTCAAACCAGTTTCCTGGGGTAGATGAGGAGCTAATTCAAAAACTAGCATGAGCTGGCTGCTAAAACAACTCTAAATCATCCTTCCTGTTAATGACCCCACATCTTGCATGGAAGTTGTAATTTGGTAGCTATCATCATACTCATTGCAGTTTTATTGCATCCTGGTATGAAGTCAACCTAAAAAAGAGGTGATAAATGGCTGCCTAAAACTCCTAATCCAATACTGCATTTGGGGCAACCAGTGAAATCCCCAAATACATGAGCAGAGTGTCTGAGGGGGGGGAGGGAGCTAGTACAGCTGTACACATGATCTAAGAAGCTATTACTACAGTATTTTGGAAGAGGTGCTGGAATGTAAGAAAGATTCCAGAAAACAGGATCAAGAGGTGTTCAAGTTTTGGAAAACGTGTTATACTAATATGCCACAAAAGCTCAATGTGCTGATTTTGCCCAAAGGTTAAAAGTTGCCTGTACTGTGATCTGTGAGCAGCACCCACATGAAGACGATGTATAGTGGACAAGGCACACAGCCAACTCCAATCACACAGGTGAGAGTTGTCTGGCTTTGCTGTCTGGGGATGGTGAGGAGCCCCAGAGGGGAGGCAGACAAGGTGGTACTATGTGTTGGGCAAGACTGTAGAAAGCACTGACAGCCAGATGGTGTCTGGCATTTTCTGCTGCCTCTGGATGGTAAGGAGCTAGAGCCTGGATGGACCTCCACTAATACAGAGGCTTGAGTCCAGAATATCCTGATTGCAGCTACTTATTTTTCCCCTAGAGAACCAAGCCCGTGTTTAAATGCTTTTTTCTAAAACACATCTGGAGGACAAGCTGATGGTGAGTCTGTTAACTCTTCATGTGTCTTGGGACTACAACCCAAATTTGACTGTTCTAAAAGGAAGACTTGGCTTAACCACCAGCTATCAAAGACTAGCCACTTCCTGTTCTTCCCAAGCTTCTGGGCCCAAGTTGGGGTGAAAATGCATTTTCATGAAAGGTAGGCCAAGGTCTAACTTTCTCAGACTGAGGAAGGCTTTGAACCTAGACTTCACTGTGTAAAGGTTGGGCAGCACATTTACATTCACTTCCTCTTTTGGCCATCTTTTAACAATAAGTAGGTAAAGGGCATCCTCACAGTGCAATGTGCTTACACAAAGGAGATCTATCTGAGCCCCCAGAGGACTTCAGCCCTGCAGAAGCCAAACTGCATCTGGAAGAAAGTTTTGAGTCAAGCAGGAAGATGCTTTGAGTGTGGGTAATTTCAGAATCAAATACCAAGGGGAGGTTATAGGCATTTCTGGGCTGCTTTATGAGTCCAAAAGCTTATATAATCCTTGTATAAGACTTGAAGGTTACAAGTCAAAACTAGATAAATAAACAATGAATTTAGAAGCAATACATCCATTAAGACAATTTACCAAAAAGACTGTTGCTTGTACACCTGTTGAAATTATAAAGTCAAAGCGTCAAAGATGAGCATTTCTCTGAAAGCTAAACTAGTGCAACAGCAGGGTTGGTGCAGAGATCAAAAGCTGTGATATATTGTGGAGGTGAGGAGATTATGGGACCTTTGGACTTTGAACGCAGTTATTGTTCTTCTGGAGCCTCATTCAGCACAGAGAAAACTTTGCTGTTCCAGAAAATTTTGAGGCACTGTGTTACAAGTGTTACAGGTATGTACCGTAAACTGGTAATACTGTGTGTCAGGGAGCTTTTTCGTGTGTGAAAAAATTGTTATTCCTAAAAGTTCTCTTACTAAAGGTCTGGATTAAATTAACACTGTTGAAAGGGAAGGAAATTTAAGGAAGCCTCTGTTCAGATGGGTTACTGACAACTAGAGGGGGAAGGGACCAATCTGACATCAGCAAACTTGCCAGCATATTTAATATGATGATATGAATTTTAAAAGTCATGAATGAATTAACTATATTAAAGAGGAGGGCATTTTATCATCAGAATAAATCATGCAGAAGTCAGATAAAGGAAATTGGAATGGAAAACTGCTACTAGAAAGAGAAAATGAATATATTAATATGCTGTATTACAAGCAGTGGCTTGAACGATTCCATAATAGAGCCTTTGAATACTGAATGAGAAGAAATTACAAAAACCCCAAATGTTTCTATAAGGTTAAAGTTATCGGTATCATTAATATTTTTACAATACATTATTTTCCCCTTGGAAATACTTGTTATTTACTTAATTTTTAAAGAGACCAGTTATTTAATGATGGTTTTAAAGTAGAGAGCTGGCTCATGAGCAAATACTGAGATGTTAGTGTTAGGTGTTGGTTATGTAGCTGGTGTGCTACTACCAGCACTTCCTTCCTGCTTAACCAGTATCCCTGGAACATGTTGAAGTTGCAGAAGTGTCTGATTCCTGGCCCCAGAGATGGAAATCTCACATGCTGGCTCTGTGGGAATGCAGGGGTGGGCTCCAGTTAGATGTGAGCAGTGGTCTACAGTGCTGCCTGAGAATCATCCTGAGCCTGGTTTACATGCAACCTCCTCCCCAAAACTCAGCCTTGCATTTTTTTCTCATGAGTATGTTGATGAGCAGCTGACAGATTTCACATTCATACTTTCACAGCTTCACATTCACAGATGGCAATATTCTAGCATATTTAAAAAAAAGAAATTAGAGATGGACTGTTTCTGAAAATTGGCATCAAAATGTTATGCATTTCATGTAACATCTCCTGTATTATTTGCAGGTGGAAGACTGGAGATCTGTTTAAGACCAGGGTCACAACTAGGCTATACCAAAACTTCAGGATGTGTTCATTTTATACTCTGCAACTGATTGGAGCATTGCTGCGTTTTACTATCACATGAAGCTCTCAGTTTTCTCCCCAGAGGGGATTTGGAGATAAGTTGCTAGGGCAAGTCAGAGACAACTATTTTAAGTTAAATGTTTTCTCTCTAGAATGGTTGTGACTCCTGTAAACATGAATTGTATTATGTAAAGGATAATGCTTGGGAAATACTGAGGCTGTAATAGGAGGTTGTAATCCATCTTTGTCTTGCAGAATGGTAAAAGCACCCATTCATTTAAAACAGGGAAAGCAGACTAATTTGCGTTGGCTTCCTCAGAGCAGCATTATACCTGCATAAGATAACAAACTACCAAAAGAAGAAAGTGGAATTTGTTTCCCTTGACCTTAAGAAAGCTTATTTGCAAAAGCGGCAAGATCCAACTTATTTAAGGAGCTTGGCCTTTGCAGTAAAACAATGCAAAACTCCATCTATCTGAGAGTAGTAAACCGTAGCCACATTATCCTGTTAAGCTGATGCTAAATATAGACTAGATTTTCAGTTCCTTACAGGCATGTCCTTGCTTTGTGACTAAATAAAGCACCAAGGGCTTATGAAAATCTTATTTTCTTCATGCCTATGAGTGTTGGTACAATGCACTGTTTGGCTCTCTGTAAGTCTTAAAACAATGCTAGAGTTTACTAGGACTTTCTGCATTTTACCAGAATGAAAAATCAGGTTTCTACTGAACTAAAACACTGGAAAGGAGGGTACTGAAGGACATGGTTTTCTCCAGCTCTTATGGAATCTGCTGTATATAACTGTGTCCAGACATAAAAATACACAGCTTTCCCTATGTCAGTGTCTTGACATTGACTGTAACTTTTCCAGTTCTTAAAGTCCTTAGTTTTGGTTGGAAATCACAGCAACAAAATGTATTTACTTACTGCTGTCTATAATCTTAACTCTTGATTAATTTACTTTAAATATATAAATAATGGAGCAATTATAGAGTTTAACAGCCCTAGCACTGAGTTCAGAGAAGAACTTATGCACAAACTTAATAGGTGCAGCTGCAATTCTTGAAGAGATTTCTCAGGACAGCACATTATCTGAACAAGTTCCCAGTGTGAAATGGCCTCACTGAAGTGAATGACAAACCTGCCCTTAGCTTACTTAAGCAAGCACAAGATTTTCTGAAGTTCCCAAGTCTTGGGAAGCAACTACTGGTTTGTCATGGAAATTGGGTTTATGTCATGCACATTTCCAGGACATTTATTACCAACTTCTTAGTTTTCAAACATATTTCAGCTGAAATAATAATAATAATGAAATAATAATATAATAATAAT